TATCATTATCTCCATTTTATAGCTGGGGAAACTAAGGCAAGGTCACAAAGCAAGTCAGCGACAGAGCCAGCCAGGAATGAACTCCAGGTTTCCTTATTCCCTGTTCACTGGACCACATTGCCTCTGCTTCACCCCTTTCATTTCAATCACCTTTTTCCTGTCTCTAGTTCCTTTTCTGTCTCCAAACCCACACAGTCACCACGTATTCCTATGCCATGGTATGGGGGAGGGGCAGAGAACCCAGAAGGCAGGATAGGAGTCAAATGTTTTTTCCTGGTTCACTCTAATGTGACATCTTGGTAAGTGACCTACAGAAGATGATTTGCCAGGGTGTCTTCTCTTCCTGCTCCTGGAAGCCAGAGGAGAAGAGCTAGGATGGGATATTGGGTCCCTTGCTCTCCCTCACAAATGTGTCAGGAGGTGAAGGCAGCAGTGACAAGTTCCTTTTCTCCATAACTCCTCCTGCAAAGGACCTGGAGTGTTCACTCTGGTAGCGTCTCGAAGCCTGCTAGTTTTCAGAGCAAGACCTCTGATCAGCGCTTTGTTGGCTCTGCTGGCTCGACAATGCACTAGGTTTCTTTGGCACTATTAATAGGAAAGCAGCTGGCTTACGAGCCCTACAGCCCATTGTCAAGGCTGACTCATCCGGAAAATGCCCAGGCTAGTTGTTTGCTGACCCTTTCGGGGCCTGATGAGGAATGAGTTGCCTTTTCACCTGCAGTGGTGATCACTCCAGAAAAAGACTGAGGCACTTTGACTTGGCTGGGGACAGTGGGGAAGCCTGCACTAATGCTGGGTCCTGTACTTCTTCTGTGGATCAACAGAGGTATTCACTGCAGCAGGCTTCCACAAGTACTGTATTTGTTTAATAGAAATTCAAATGATTCAATGAGATGCTGCATTTTCCTTCTATACGTTGTAGCTTAATACAGAAAAGTCTTAATTTTGTATAAATTAACACGAGAAGGACAGAAACAAATGATTTCAGCCTGGTGGACATCTGTAGAAAGGACATCTGAACTGCCCCTCAGACTGTACAGTCTGCTGTTGCATTAGTCTCAGTGATAACACTACATAGCAGAACCTCACAAACTAGGCATTCAACAGGTCGGAATATTTCAAGGAGACTTGCAGCTCTCTTGTTTTTAGGATCTATCATTTTTGGAAACTAGCAACTCTTCACCCAAACTTCCTTTCCAGTTCTAAGTGAGAATTTGAGGGGGCGGCAAAAAAATTGAACCCCCCTTGCTTTGTTAGAGGTGCTCCTTTCCAGTCTGGGATACAATCACTGCCCCATCCACATTCTCTCTTGGGTGGTCACAAGCTCCTGCACTTTCAGTGATAGCCGTTACAAGCAGTACTTTCTCTTAAGGATGGTTAAAACAAAAGTCCTAGAACCGGACCCGAGGATAACTTGGGTATCAGTGTCTGTGGTCTTGAAAGCCTATTAGGTGATGGGAGAAAAACATCACAATACAATGCACGCGACAATATGTCCTTTAACTAAGCACACCAAACAGGGTATTGTTCACCTTTGCAATTCTGAACATTTAAAAAAAATAGTCTCCGTGTTCACAGGTCTCCCCAAGGGATTTATAGAACTTGCTTCCTCTCTGCCTTTTCTGGTAACAAAATAAAATTGCGCTTTGAGAAGCTACTGTTCTATAGCACATGCATTATTCGGTTGTTCTGGTTATATCCATGATCCCATCACTAATCCACACTGAAATCAAAAGCTCTTTCCAAAGAGCTTTTTCTATACAGTTGGTTAAATAAGAACTCTCTCCCAATTTGCTACGTTATTGTCTATTTACAATTATAACCTAGGGGCTAGGGACTATGACTTCTTTAGTGCCAAGCAAAAATGTGTTTGAGAAGTTAGAAGTTGGAAATAGATAGTCAGAAAGGGTTTGTTCTTAAAATATTATTTTATCTATGCCTAAAATTACAAGTGGAGAGGAATCCTTAAAATTAAATATGGCCCAAGAGCTGCTATAATAAATGTAGGCGTGGCTTTGGATTTGAAAGAGAATCGAGTCAATGGCCTAGGTTCTACCGTACCAACATTTTCTGAGCTGTTCTTGAGATGTTCAGCCTCATACAAACAGGAAACAGAAAACAGATTCTTTCTGGTTTTGGATCTGACCTGGAGCCAAAAGCCTACAGGCAGATTCCTCCAGGGATTTGATTCCAGGATCCCCCCTCCCAGAATCTGAAGGGGTTTAGATTAGAGGATATGTTTCTGGCCTGTCACATGCTTCAAACTATATTTTTTTCTGTACCAAGGCCAATGATTGATAAGACAGTCATTTATGGAGAGTACATCAGGAATTAAACTACACAGAGAATGGAGGAATACAGATTTTAACATTTTATTACACAGTAAAGAATACAACAATACCTGAATCATACTTTAAAAGATTCACAGGTTGACAGACCATACATTACAGTCCAACTAAAGAAAAAGGATAAACAAGAAACCACAGTTCAGACATAGTAGACTTAAAAGCTCAAGAGTATGCTGACAAAAGCATGATGCCTAGACCCCCCCGCCCCCCCCCCCAGTGTTAGTCTACCATTAACTTGTGGTACATGTCTGAATTAAGTATTGCACAACAACTTTTCTTTTTTCACGATAATGTCGCAGAACCCAAAATAATAAAAAATAAAAATAAAAAGTACTTCAAATCTGCATTTCAACAGTCTCCAATTTTTTTTTTCTGTCCCTTGAGGAATTCGGACAACATGGAGTCACTTTTTCCCCTAAAAGTATTCCAGACGTAGGCATGCTTTGCATA